TTTTTAAAATTTTTGCTAATATTTTTCTATCTATAAGTGCTTTTTGGCTATATTCACTTAATTTTTCTGAATAAATATCTATTATTTCAGAAGAATTATTTTTCTCTTCTTTTATTTCATTCATCTTCGCTACTTATTTCATATTCTATATCTGTAAAGAAAAATATACTTTCATCAGAAGAAATTTCCTCTATTCCTACAAATCTATTTATTTCTATTAATTCATTATTATTAATCAAGTTTTCAATGTCATCATCCGCTTCAAATCTCTTTTTATTAAATTTTTTAGGACATTGATTTGCTAAGTGTCTTTTTTCTTTACAAATATAACATTGACAATCTGTTATATTTCTTTTTCTTTTATTTCTCCTATATATTTTTTCTTTTTTGGAAAATTTTCTCTACATTTTTAGTATTTAGCCTTTCTTCTTTTCATATATTTTCTTTTAAAATACTTCCACTTTTTAATATCTATTTTCATCTTATGATAATAATATGGAGTGTCACATCCTATTTGGGTAGGCATATTAATATTATTACAACATAGTGTCGATATTTTAAATTACGTGTCTTTCTAAAGAGTATGGATTCTTCATACCATTTACTTAGTTTATCTAGTATATGAAATATTCTTTTTTCTAGAGTATCTTTAGATCCAGAATTATATTCTTCTCTTAATTTCTTACCCCATGAGTCAAGAATTTTTGAGAAAAATATTTCTAAATATGTTTCTCTTTCCTTTGAATCTATTCTATAATAATAATCTTGAAAAACACAGATATACTTATCTATTTCACACATATCACAGAGTGTTAATTTAAGTAATACATTGGCATATTTTTGAACTGAATTAGCATGTTTAAACTAAATTCCTTCACCAACAAATTCAAGACGAATTAATTCAAGTGCTCTAGTTTTTTTTAAATAATCTTTTTTCCTTTATTAATAAAATACAATTACAGAGAGGGGAAAAACCTCCTTGAGTACAATAGCTCCGACACTCACTACCTCAAAAGGCAAGAAAATTAGGATAACCTAACCTATCCAGCTTAAGGTCTCCTCGAACCAACCGTGGCAATTGCACGAACGAATCGTATACGAAAGTAGAACCTAACTCCGTCCCAACCTTAGATAACTGATCAGCAGGAACATTCGCTTGACGCTAAGAATGAGTGACAGAATGAAAAGAATGCCGAAAAGCAAGCAATTCCTCTAGCTCTCGTTGCAATCCCGATGGGCACCTACTAACCCCCTTAACCATTTGGACCAGAAGTAAAGAGTCCGATTCCAAGTGCAAGCAACATAAACTTCTCGTAACACACAGCTTAACTCCAAATAACAAAGCCTTCAATTCTGAATGTAAACTCGACGTCTCACCCCAATAACCCGCGAAACCTATCAAGAATATTCCCGCACTATTCCTCAACACCCCCCACATCCACTCCTTTCCGGATTACCCTGAGAATAACCATCGGTGTTCAGTTTCAATAATGTCGAGATCGGAGGGATCCACCTAACTAAAGTGACCTTAGTCAGCGTCTTCCAACCCACTAGCGAAGTGTAAAATCTTGGCCACGAGTACTGCCCCACTCCCATGTCCTTGAAATGCACCTGGAGAATATCACAGAGATCCGAAAGAACAAAGCCATGTACCTGCATGGCCGACAGCACCTTCCCTTCCCACACCGCCACATTTCTAGCTTTCCAAAGGTGCCAGCAAATCAGCGATGGCAACACCTGATAGACCAATCTAAGCCACTTGTTCTTAGTCGCCCGCAACCACCATTGAATGACTGCATGTTTTACCGTCGATGGAGTGGCAAAGTCCCCAATCTCGACTTGAAATGACTCCCAAACCTGCTGCGGGACATCACCAGCACAAAATATATGATCAATTGAATCCACCCCTGGATTTTCACAGCAAGCACATCGTGATGGCCTGCACACACCCCACCGCTGCAACACACCGGCAGTCGACCAGACAACATCCTCATCATAAAAAATGAGATTTTTGCTAGCAAAGCTGTTAGCCAGATATTAGATGAAAATATGGAAATATTGGAGACCTTGCGTACCAAATTATACGTAGAAGAAATGGAAAAAGAGCCAGAGATATCCAAATCCCACACCATCCTATCGGGCTGCTTAGAGTAAACATCAAGAGGGGTTATCTGCAGAATCATAGGGACAATACTTTCCGGAAGCCACTGACGAAGCATTGGAATGTTCCAGTGCCCATTCAAGACAAAGTCCGCCACTGTGTGATCTCCAAAAATCTCGACCCGCTGACACAAAGACTTGTATTTTGTTCTTTTCCATATATTATTACTTAACCTCTTCTGGTAATGTCTTCCAATATCACAAGACGCGATTTACTGGGGATCTTTCTAAAAATTCTTTTGACTCTTCATATGATAATTTATTTATAGAAATAGCTAATCTTAATCCAATTTTACATTTATCTATCACTTCTTCTATATTTTTTACACAGTTTAAATCTAAAATGTTCCAAAAGGAAATATAACTTCAGGTGTGATCCTATCTAAGTGTATAACCTTAATTGTCTAAATAGTCTTTTTGTTTTGCTATATTCATTAATGATGAAATGAAAGAGTTTTCTAAACCAAGTTCACGCCTAGCATACGAAGAGGCAGGTCTACTGGATGAAGGTATATCAGTTATATTTGGGGTTTATTTCTGGTTTCATATACAATTTTATATTTATCATCAAATTATTAAGTTTATTACCTATATTTTGTATTTCAAAATCTGAGGGATAAATAAAGTTATTTTCAGACTCACTCATTTTATTTTAGTAATATGCTTTGTTAGGTATTCTATAGCGGTCATATTTTTTTCAATAATTTTTTTTTCTGAATTTATTTTCTCTAGTTTTTCTTTCATGTTTTTTGAATGCCTTTCTTTAAATCTTATATATGTATAACATTGTTTTTTGTATTTCAAATAGGTCTTTCTCTATTTTTAAATTTTCAAGTTCTATTATTTTGTAGTTATCCGAATTCATGTGTGCATTCTTACTAAATGTAAATTTCGATTTGAAACAATCTTTTCTAAGTTTCTTTTTTCAATATCTAATAATATATTTAACGCTTCTAATATTATTTCTTCAGAGGAATATTTAACAGTAAGTTGTCTTACCTTTTCAATATCTAATAATATATTTAATGCTTCTAATATTATTTCTTCAAAGGAATATTTAACAGTAAGTTGTCTTACCTTATTTATTTTAGCATTAGCTGCTAGATCTTTACTAATAAAATTTTGACATTCTTGGAAATATGTTATTCTTTCATAAGAATTCATGGTGGATTTAAATGAGTTTCTCTATAATGATTAGTAAAGTCTTTATTTAGTTCTGCATATTTATTAGTTATTAAATATTTTTCATGTTCAGCATCTCTTAAGGTCTTATATCAATCATGGCAACCCACCTTTCTTAATAATATGTAATTCTTTCATTTAATTATTTTAATTAATATGCGAATTCTTTAATAAGAAATAATATCGAATCACAACATTTTAAAGAGACGGATAGTGCCAATCAAAATCGTCAAATTCTATTCCATTATCAAAAATATCTAATAGGTATTGGGTTTGTATCAAATTTTTCATCAGAAATATAATCACCATTATTATTTAAGGGAATATGTAGATCATTTTTTGGGAATTGTGGGATCATTTAGGGCACCGCTACAGAGAATGAAGAAAAAAAAATTTTTTGTTGGACTTCAGTTTGGTTTTGAAGAAGAGCTCTTTGGTCTGTTGGAACTCATTGAGAGTTTTGTGAAGAAAATGGAGCAAGATTAATATGTTTGTCTTTTAGTCCGTTAAGATATGTTGAACCTTTTGTGAGTTTTGACCCGTTGAGATCCATTGAGTCTTTTGCATCCTGGTTCGTTGGTGGCTCGTTAGGATCTGTTAGGACTTTGGTAGTTTGTTGAAATCCGTTGGGACTTTTTATGGAGAAGGTGAAGCTTGTTTGCCATTTGTTTGCTATTTGTCGATGTTAGATACACGCCAAGATGGAAATTTGTTGAATTTGTCTTTTTATCCCACATCAAAAATTTTATAAAGAAATATCTCCTCTTAATGATTATAAATATAGTAGATTTAAATGAATTTAATTGTGCTAAAGGTACTGGTCCAAGTACTGTATACACCAATTCAAGAGAGTTTTAAGGGACCCACACCCCAACTAGAGAGAAGTTGGTTAGATATCAAACCAAAAGAGCAAGTCATGGGCTTGAAACCATTAAACATTTAATGCTAATTAGGCACTTTTGTATTTTCAGTTTTAGGTACCTTTTGAGTTTAAAAATTATTTTCTAGATTTTGTATTCTCTCTTTTGTGCTATCTTTTTATTATAATAAATCTACTACCCCTTCGCCCATGGACGTAAGTCAGTTTGACCGAACTACGTAACTTTTGTTTGATTTATTTCTTCTGTTATTGTCATTATTGAATTGTCAAGAACTCTATTATTCTCGTTGGTCAATTTTCTCGGACTCTGAACAGATAGTTTTTTTGATAGTCCGTCTGATAGTCCGTCGGGCAGCGGTGGCATTGGTTTTGTAATCTTCAATCCCTGCGAACAGGTAATTCATAAGTTATCCAAGAAGATTTTAGTGGATTCTCCAGTCCATGCGGAAGCTTTAGCTTGCTTGGAATTAGTTGTCTGGGCAAGGAGGCTTTGTTGTAATTCCCATGTCAGAACTAACTGTATATTGTTCCTATCCTTCATTAAATACAGCTCCATTAAAGTTCAGTTTCAGCATGGCTAAACCTGGAGCATGCCATCAAATCTGCAACAATTTGCTAAGATTTGCTGCAGTGATGCTTCACCAGCCCCACTAGCTTAATTCTTCAGGTAAATTAATTCCAAAAAGCACCTGTTGCAAAGGATCCTTAATCTGACCACCATGAACCCGAGCATTCCTAATGGATTCGATTTTATCTAAAGTGAATTAAGGAACAGAGATGCAACTAAAAAGATAGCAAACTAGAAAATAGAATAGCTAAATAAAATTAACAGGCATTCAATTTGTCTAAAGAGATCAATTTCAGAGTTAATATTTATAATAATGGATTAAAAATTCATCCAAAACATAATAGGTGGGGTTCATCCTTCTGTTCTGTGTTCTTTCCAAAGCTTATATATCACAAATTCCCTTATTATGATCATGTCTGCTGCTGCAAAATAGAATAACGAATAAAAAAAAATTCAAAAACTAATGATGTGTACAAGTACAAAGGTAGCTGATCTAATTTAGAAGTATAAATTTCAATAGGTACTGCTTAACAACATGATAAATTCTCACCTACTTATCTTCAATCCTTGGAACTTAACAAATTGATTAATTTTTTAAACTCCAGCACCAGCTTTTAACACAACTGACATTCATAATTAGCATTAATTTCTGCAAAAACAAATTACAGTCATCTAGAGCAAAACAGTTCTCTACATAACAGATGTCTGTTGTCTTTGATGCTACTGATGCTCTTTAAGAAAATTAATACAATGAAATTTGACCACCATCTTGGCAAGAAAAGCAAACAACGGTAAGAAACTTCTCTATGCTCCAGCAAGCTTAATTAGAACGAAGACCTTTTCTGTAGCAAATTTGGCAATTAAAGCCCCTGTTATCTTAGAATATGGACATGTATGGTGAGTTATATCAGGTTTTTCTCTTCCTTTCCCCTCGTTTTGTGTCTAAACATCAATTACATGTTAAATAAATAACAGGAAAAGATAAAAGAAAAGAAAATCAGCACACTCAAAGTCATAAGTTTATGGGAAGATGTACAACCTGATTAAGTGCCTTCAAATTTACATTTTTTTTGTTAGAAGGCCAAACAAAAAAAAAAGGGAAAGAACAGACAAAATCTGATAAATTATGGAGTCTTTTAAATAGAATCTCCCATCCTATAAAAAAAAAAATCAAGCCCACTAAGGCATAAAACAAAAGTAAGTGTAGATATACCTCTTGCTGTATAATTTGAATTGTAAAATTTCTCAATTGATCTCTATCCAGCTACAACTTCAAGTCTAATTTGTGCAGTAGATTACACTGCAAGTACCATCTTCCTCTCAATCTCATTTGTATATCCTGGTCATAAACTCAAACATGCAAACCAATAAGAACCCAAACCATACTTGCTATTTTCTTTTTCAATGGGAAATACTTATTTAAATGATAAAAGACTCTAAGGCCTTGTTTGATAACTCAATTCAGCACTCACACTTAATGGAATTCAAATCTTAATATGTTCAGATGCGTTTGATAATCAAAATTAAAACATTTGAATTATTTAAGTGACACTGAATTTTCTAGGCAAAATTTGCTCCCAAAAATAAGTGATAGGCTATTCATTTATCACTTATTGTGATATACACTCAAATATATCAGATTTAGTACTTAAAATTTCAATAACGTAATAGATTCAAACTTTAGATTTCAGTTTTATCAAACATACTTTAAAGATAAAGATATGCATAAGTACAACCACTATCTAGCAAAAGAAAATGTAATGTCAAATTGGAACATAAGTGCCTATGAAGTCACATGAGCGACACCCAAGAACCCAACCATTCTCTAGCAGCTCATTCCACTTATACTACAATCAAACTCAAAAGTCATTTTATCAGCTTCAAGTATACATAAGAACAACCACTGCCTAGCAAAAGAAAATGTAATGTCAAATTGGAACACAAGTACCTATGAAGTCACATGAGTGACACCCAAGAGGACAACCATATTCCACTTTATATTACAATCAAACTCAAAGTCATCTTATCAGCTTCAAGTATCATACCTTCCTTGCCAGTTCTCTGTGCTGAGGCAAAAACAAGAGCAACAGAAAAGAAATAAAACACTAAATACAAGATAAAGTAAGCAAGTAACATTACATACAACCAAAGAAAACCTGTTAAACTAAACTGAAGAGACGGTTAAGGAAAAAAGCATAAAACAGTTTCTTCATTTATCTTTCCTTTGCCAGAAACAAGGTGTACATTTAAACAATCCTATTAGCTTTCACTATTCCTTTAGCAAATTCAAATTGGAACAAATTAAAGAAGATCAACGATGCAGTTATTGAGTTGACTCCTCATAATTCCAACCTATTTTGGAATATATTTGTTTAACCATGCAAAATACAGCTAGGGAGTAAAACCACCTTAAAATGCATTAAACATTTACCATGCTAAAAAGGGTGCAAACTCTAAATCCTACAAACAAGTCGGGAACAAACTCATGGAATGAAGTAATATTGTGCTGTATTGCACAAGGGCCAATATGATCTTTTCACCAGAAATCCTTCAAATATAAACAAAACCCATCAAGTAAAATTAGTCATCCAAGACAAAATCTTCAAACTTGAACTTACAACACTGGAATTTCAAACTAATAACAAAACTATAAGGGACAAAAAAATCTCAAATCCACATTTGCACCTTTCATTATTTTTGCTTAAATAAAAACCTTGTTTGGGATGTTAAGCTATCACATCTTTTTTATCACCATTTTTTTTTAGTTTCAGAGTAAGATATAAAACTCACGCGTGAAGAAACCTTCTGACATGTATCAATAATGGCTTGAGTGCTTAAAGTCAAGGAAAAATCTGGGAAAGAAAAAACTGCGGGTAAAACATACAACAAGAAAATAATAAGAAATTATGGTACAAAATGTTTACCTTTACATGATTTCTCCATCCTAAATTAGAAAAAAATAAATAACCAATAGCTGAATACATATTTTTCAACAATAAATTCTAAGAAAAACCACAAAAAAAAAAAGAACAAACGGAAGGCGAAATCAGTTTAAAAGGCAAAAAAAAAAAAAAAAATCAGATCATTCCACATCTTAGATTAGAAGAAGATGAAAGCTTCTCTCTTCCGTGGTTAAACAGCCAAAAAAGAAAAGATTAAATCATCAATAAAAATATAATATATGTATGTGCATATATATATATATATATATATATATATATTAAACATCAGCAAAAGGATAAAAAAAATACCGTGATTGTATTTACAAATTATTCAGATCGGATGATGGAGATGGATTAGTCATCTTCCTAATTCAGCTTAAGCAGCTTTTCCTCTGTTCTTCAAGAGAGAGTCGGAGCAGGTACAAGTATCTCTAGGAAAAAACTTTTTCGTTTGTTGATTAGGTAGATTGGTTAGAAGAAGATCAGATTCAAGGGGGTAAAAGAAATTAGGAAGAAGAAGAACTGAAGAAGAAGAGAAGAAAATGATGCGACTGATTTTTGGGAGGAGAGAGTGAGACAGATTTTGATGTCTTGAGGCCAGAACCCAGTAAATTCTCACCAAATACCTAAAAATCTGGAAACACGTTATTTGGTAAGAAATGCCAAAAAAAATAAGATGCATGAGTGGCACATGAGAGACGACTATCCTTTTGCAACCCCATTCCCACTTTATACTACATTTTTAAAGACTTTCCTCCTAAGCTGTTGATATATAAATGCTTTGACAAGACCACACAGATCTTGAACAGTCATAAATTCAGTAGTCTCTCATCTCCATTTGACAGAGTCATCTGCTTCTGACCTTACCTTCAAACTTACCAAAGTATCTGATAAAGCATAAACAATCTTATTGCAACTTAGAAAACTCTACATCTAATTGGCTTTCACAAGCATCCAATCATTCACTACCATGACTTCATAATTTTATAAGCAAAACCTTCACAATATTACTTGTTAATTTTTTGTAATACTGAAACAACCATCCCTTTTCCTGTCAAACTTGAGCAAACTTTATTGAAGAGCAGATGTCAATTCCCCACTGTCTAGACTGTAGTATTCTTCTTTCAAATTATAATTACTCATCGAGTCTTTTAAGTGATTCTTGGCATAAAGTTTTCAGTAGATACCGCACAAAGTTTCTCATTACCTGTCAATGTCTTTGAAAATCTGTCACACACAAAAACGCAATTAATTAGATCTCTTCAAAGTATACATTACAAAAAAAAAAGGTACAAATGTTGGCATCTATTCTTTTCCTTGCTCTCCTCTCAGGACACACTAAACAAATGTTTCTCACATTCAAATTTATCCATTGAAATGCAAAATTCAATATGACAGTGCAATCAAGAACAAGCAACACGATTTACTTGAAGGAAAAGAATGAAAGCTTACCTATGTTTTCTTAAGAGTACTTTGGCCATTGACAACAAGAGGATACACCCAGAATGCTGTGATTACTCAGGAGCAAAGAACATGACTACTCCCTCAACCACCTATTAGTCAACATTGTGTCCATGGAAAACTGTAAATAATTTTCTATCATGGCCCCATATTAAGATTTATTGGAAAACAATTAAGAAACAAAAGTGAAATCTGACAATCAGATTGCAAATTAGATGTCTTCAAGGAAACAAAACTTCAGCTTTTGTAATTAAACAAGGGACCTCCTGAGGAAGTTCACAAAAGTCACATGGAAATGTGGACTTGAAAGCCAAGGTGTTGTCAAGTACCTGATACTGTATGGATCAAAAGAGTAAATGTGGATATGAATCATTAACAAATCTAAGTCCATGACATTCATTTGTAGAGAGACATGATCAATCAACAAACATTTCTTTTAAACTTTAACTGCAGTGAAAGTTTAAAAAAGAGAACTGGTGCAACACCCAGTTTACTTCACCAAATTCTTTTGGCACTATTATGTAAATGCAATAACATGAAAATAATTATTCATGTCCCTATGAAGTGGACCAAATCTTGAATGGAATAGCAATGTGAGAAAGTCAAACTATGTCACCAAATTATTTTGGTGACGTTGTGCAGTACCATGAGCTATACCATGATCTAAGAGTCAAATACATGTTATTAGAAATTATAAGCAGTTGGATAACAGTTGAGATCCCAGTTCTCTGAGATTAGAAGGGGATTTCAGGATACAATAATGAAAGCTTGGCAGGAATGGCTGGAATATGAGAATGTAGGAAGGAATGTAACGAGGAGGAGCCCTAATGAATCAATAGACCAAAGTGAGGATCAGATTCCCCGAGGTATGGACAGAGAAATGATTGACATTGACTTAGCTACACGCTCAAGTTCCAAATTTGAATCACTTGGGTTTGGAGTGGTAGATATGGACTGGAGGAAACACGTCAAGGCTAGTTGGGCAATCAATGTAAGGAAAAGTGGGAACAGCATCCAAGATGAGACCGAAGGACTGAAACTATCTATAATTAAAGCTATTGAAGCAGGATGGCATAGGATTCACATCAAACATGCTCTAGCAAACAACTAGTTCACAACTAAAAGCCAAGAGGAGTCAAGATGCTAACCTGACTTCCATGCTCGAGGACCTCAATATGCTCAGTTCTTTGATTCACTTCTGTTCCTTCTCTTTTGCTCCTAATAGGAAATAGTATAGCTAATAGATTAGCAGATTATGTTTTAAACATTAACCTAGATGAGGAATGGTTTAATACCTTCCAGCTGTGAATATGGCAGTTTGATCTTTTTGGGGCATTTGCTCCACTAACTCCACACTTTTGTAGCCTTGTTTACAGTAATGAAAATTGACCTTTGATCCCAAAAAAAAAAAAAACAGTTGAATGAACACTAGAAGAAGACTAATTAAACAAGCAACACAATGCCATAAAATGAAGTCAGAAATTGCAACTGATGAGGGAAAAAGACAAAAGGAAGAGGAAAGTTAGAGGATAGGCTCAAAACCAGTTTATGTAGTTAACTGTGTGATTCTATCCCCAATTTAGACCTATATTGCTATGCCCTAAACTATTAAAATAATGCGTCCAGATAGCCCACCTATTCAAAGAAATAAACACATAAAAACTACACATCAGATTGTGATCAGTCGCTAATAACAGTAACCAATCCATTGTTACAATGATCTAGATGCATGCTGTGCCTTTGCTGTTTCCCGCAGAATAACACCCACGATTGCTGCCTGCTCAAGACATTCAGCCTTATGCAGAGAGTCCATAAGAACAATACATGTTTTTGTGTATATGTTGCAACCTCTTAACCTAGTCTCTTCAAATAGTTGGTAAGCTTCCAATGCCCTATTTGAAATGCTTAACCCTTCTATCATAGTATTATAACAGGCTGAATCAGGTACACCTCCATTTGCCTTGAACCTTTCAAAGAGTTTATCAGCTTCTAGTATATTTCCGGCCTTTGCAAGCCCAGATATCATAGTGGTATAAGTAATCAGTTTGGGTTTTAGACCTTGCTTCTGCATTTCCTGCCAAAAAACAAAGGCTTTATTGAATTTTTGCACCCTACAAAGCCCATTTATGAGAATGCTGTAAGTTATTGAGTCTGGACTGCAATTCAAGTTTTTCATCGAATTAAAGCAGACAAGAGCTTCATCTACTTCTTCAGCCTTCACGAGAGCATCAATCAAGCAGTTCCAAGTATAAGTGTTCGGCGTCAAGCCTTTTTGCATCAATTCTTCCATAATCAGATATGCTTCATCAATTCTACCCACCTTCCCGAACCCATCTACAAGGCTACTGTAAACCACCACATTTAACTCCACACCTGTGGATTTTGCTTCTTCAAAAAGCATGTAAGCTTCATCAAGCCTGTCAATCTTTGCAAGCCCATCAATAACACTACCATAAGTGACAACAGTAGGTTCATGACCCTTCACCTTCATTTCCTCCAGCAGTTGATAAGCTTTATTGACCTTTCCTGATTTACAGAATCCATCAATTACCGTGTTATAAGCAAGGGTGTCAAGAATACACCCTCTTTCCTTCATTGTATAAAATAACTCGTATGTTTCGCATGCAAAGCCTGCTTTTATAAGACCATGAATCAGAATAGAATAACTCCGCACATCTGGAGTAAAACCCAGATTCTTAATTTCCTGAAACAAAGCTCTGCCTTTCTCTGTCTCACCAGCTTTGAATACACAATCCATATAGGTGTTAAGGAGCAAAAGATCAGGGGCAACACCTCTAGAAACCATTTCTTTGTAAATCTTGTGCCCATCTTCCTTCCTTCCAGACCTGAAAAAGTTCTTAATCAAGGATGTATAAACAACAGCATCAGGAGCCCGATCAGAATCTAACATCTGCTCATATAACCTGTATGCATCATCTACCCTGCCATGCCTACCCAAGCCATCTATAAGAGAGCAAAATGTCCTTGTATCTGGCATACAAAGTTTGTGGTCCATTTCTTCAAAAATAAAACAAGCTTCATCAAGTTTCTGAGCCTTACACAAACGGTCAATCATTATATTTACAGTCAATACATTGGGAAACAAGCCTGAAAATTTCATGGCATCTCGAACGTCTAAAGCAGCCATGTACTGTCCTTCCCTGCAAAGCATGTCAATGATGATATTATAAGTTGTGCGATTAGGTGCTGCATCTTTTTTCATCTCCTCAAAGATCCTTAATGCGTCATCAACTTTTCCCTTCTTCCCAAGGCAGGTTAGAAGAGAATTGTATGAAATTACACTTGGTATGGATCCCTTTAACCTTTGCCTTTCAAGTAACCTATATGCTTCATCAAACTTTCCAGCAGATCCATATCCCATGATCATAGTGCTATAAGCATATGCGCATGGGACTGCCCTATTCTGCTCCATCTGTTCAAACAGGTGCACAGCTTCATCCAGTCTGTTACCCTTGCAGAGAACACCAATCATACTCGTATATGTAACTTCATCAGGTACGAATCCATTAGCTTGCATCTCATGAAAAAACTTCCAAGCCATATCCACCTTACCCACCTTGCCAAAGCAGTTTATACACACATTATAGAGAACAATGTCTGCATCCAATGAGTTGCTTTTCATCTCCTCCAAAAGCGAGAGAGCAGCATCAACTCGACCTTCCCTGGCAAATACTCGTATAAGAGTTGTAAATAAATGAACACTCACTTCATAACCTAATTCTTGCATCTGAAGAAAGAGTGCCCGCATAAGATCAGGTTCATTAACAGTACATAGGGCACCAATTAGGGTAGTGTAAGCTGAAAATGCAGGGCGAAACTTTAACTTCCTCATTGTCTGAATACAATCAAATGCTCCCCTTAATTTTCGAGTCTTGACATAGCTATCTATTAGCTGAATACAGGTACTGTTGGATGGGCCATACCCAGCAAGACCCATCTCTTCCAAAATTTGTTCCACATGATCAAACCTCTTACTCTTCACGATTACCATGAGAAGCATATTGTATGCCTCAGGACAATGCGCTTCGTCAGTTTTCTTCTCAACCCACCGAAAATAGTTTAGTGCTTGTTGAACATCTTTCAGCCTCCTTAAGACTCCAATAACTAGTTCTGAATGACGTTTTTCATCATACGTAGATAAAGCATTTTCAACTGAAGGCCCCCAAGATCCACTCTCCAGGATCAGGCACACTCTGTCCGCTTCTTGCCATATACCCTCTGATTTTCCCAAATATTCTTGGTTAACCCCATTTCCAAAAGAAGCTGATCCACCATCCTGATTGCAAGGTCCATTACTTGAAAATGACAAGCTTCTGTAAGAGGCAATCACACGAAAGCATCTTGAGGCAGACTGAAACATTAATCCTGCGGTACCAATTAGGATCAGTATGATCAGTGAGCTACCAGAAACAAACTTAGAGTTCCAGTAAATCAACAAACTCATGATTAAAGAAATAGAAAGAACGGGAAAACATTCAGGAATTAAATGAATTCAACCAGCATACCTAGGCTCGCAAAAAGTGCCATCATTCTTGCACTTTTCAGCTTTAAATAAAATCTCTGCAAAATAATCAACGCACTGAATTTCTCTTTTAACCATGCTTCAAAAATTCATCATCGAAACTTGGCAGGCCATTCTGATAACGATACCCTACAAGTCGGAGACTCCAAAATCGGTGACTGAGGACAATTCAGGAAGAATCAAATGAGTAAAACATGCAGCCTAATTGTCAAAGTCGACCAATTTCAACTCAGGATCAAATCAAAAAACATTTCTACTTTACTAAAAGATTAATGGAAAGCCTATGACAATCCGCCAAGAACATCCCAAGAACATTGATAAATGAAGTCTATTGAACAAAATCATCACAGAGTAAGAAAAGTACAGCAAAAGCAATAAGAAACTAACCTGCATACAAAATCTCTAGTTGAAACTTGTCCCCTTCAAGACCCTTAAAAGAGCAGCAGGTAGAAAAAGAGGGTGAATGAGAAGCACGAGTGTAGCTTGCATAAGGAAGAAGAAGAACGCGAAGGGCTACTGAGAATGCTTCAGGGAAGGAGAAGGTTACCAGGGGAATGACGAAAGAAAAAGAGTAGTGGTGGTACTAAACTGCGGTGGCCCAACTCGACATGAGATGGGCTTTGATAGGCCGAACTAAAATCAGTGGGCATTGGTACTACTTGTTCTAAGCGCTATGTTGATTCTGGGAATAAAACTATAAAGTGTCCCCTTGCAAGGTGTTTAATTGAATGTTTATCTAAAGGACTAAAAATATACTACAACGTATTATCAAATACCTTATCTTATCTTACTATAAGATAAGTAGAGGTCCAAATTTACTGTAGCAATTCCCCTTACTAACATGTGGTATTCTGGGTGAATTTTGAGTTTTCTCTTTTGCTTTCTATATGGATTTGGTATTGTCTTGTGGAGTTGGCATTACTTTAGATGTGTTCAATGACCCAGATTAGATTGCATTTAGCATTTCTTTATAAGGTTGAATTATTTTGAGTAGACTTTTCAATATCTACATTTTGAATAGATATAATTCAATTAGAATTTATATTTATTACTATTCACATTAACATTTCAACTTATATTTGACAAATTAATTTAAGATTTAATTATTTCTATTCGAGTTTTCAACCTTATCATTTAAAATATATTTGTCAAAATAAGTTATCATTTAAAGTTAATGTAAAGCAAAAGATTATTAATGTAAAGCAAAATTGATTCTATCCTATTATAAAGAACAAGTTATTATTTCTACTCAATGCAATGTACATTTATATGTGTCAATTTTATTTTGATTTGTTAATGTCTAAAATTTTAGGTAACACTTGATTTTATGTTTATTCATATTTTTATTGTCATTTAAGGATACACAATTGAACTAACATCGCCACTTAATATATTATATATTTTTGTTATCAATTCCATTTTAATTCATTTATACGTTTGGTTCTTAAAGTTATCAAGAAGCTCTTAAAGTTATCAATTCTAGTTAAGAGTTGAACTAACATTGCCACTTAATATATTATATATTTTTGTTATCAATTCCATTTTAATTCATTTATACATTTGGTTCTTAATGTTATCAAGAAGCTCTTAAAGTTATCAATTCCAGTTAAGAGTATTTAAGAAGGCAACTTAGAGATTGTTTGGTTCTACAGTTTTTACTCTGGTTTGTTTGTAACAAAGTAGAAAAAAAAACATTCTTCAACCACTGCACTTTTTGACAATCACCTAATCAGATTAGACGATTGCTTTCTTTCTAAGAGTTAGGTTGAACTTCATATAAATGTCAACCTTTTGATAAGTTATCAGTTGTACTTCATCTTTTCATAACCATTAGATTCAAATACAAAGTACTATATTAGCTTTCATGATGCGGTTGAGCGCGAGGCACATAGTGAACAAGTAGACCCTGTGAAGGTGCCCCAAGGCCCAGTGACACGAGCACGAGCTAAGAGATTCAAGGAGTCCCTCCAGGCCTTGGTTCGTGCCGTCCAAGCCCAAGAGAAACCGGCCATTGAAGGAATTGAGTTAGAAGATCCTTACACGACTACTAAAATGCTGCTTACAATAGAAGATGCAAGTGTTCAAGCTCCAAACAGCGGGTTGAGTCGCAGTTAAGTACCCTCGCTGAAGGCCCAAGGGCGTTGGCCGAACTTTCCTTGTTATTTTTCCAATTTATTAGGTCTTAGGCGCGGCTATAAATAGCCTCAAGTCACATGTTGCATTCAGTTTTTTAGAGTATTGAATAAACTTTTCAGAATTTCGTCCATTCCTTGTGGCAAATTCCCTTAGCTTGTGAAAGCTAAGTTGAACATCCTAGAGTTGTCGCGCCCCATTTTTCACGATGAAAATAAAAAATAAAGTGTGAGATTTATAAAAGATGTGATTTTATTTTAAAACAAGTTAAAAGGGACCTAGAATGGGACTTAAAAAAATGCGACAATTTGGGTCCAAAATTTAGTCTAAAGGGGTTTTTTAGTAAAAATAGGAGTCACCACTTGGTATGAAGTTTTGGTGTACCAAGTCACCCAAAAAATAAAGTAAAATAAAATAAAACCCTTTTTGACAACTCCAGGTCTTTGAAAAACAAAAGAAAACGGATTCGGGAGTCACGGTTGAAGAAAGGGAAGGCAAAGGTTCGATTAACTCAAACCTAAGGCACCCTTTCAACTTAGTCTAAGCTAGTTGCGAGGTTTAGTCAAAATTTTTCTAATCTAACCCTTAATTTTATCATATTTGAATGTTTTCTACATGAATGCAAAAATAAAATATCGAAAGGGACAAAATGTTCATTCAAGAGTTTAATTGAACCAATCACATTTATTGCGAAGGCCAAAAATGAATCCTTGAAGGTGTCACGAGGATGCAAATGATGAAAAAAGAAAATAAAGTAAAAGAAAAGAAATTAAATTATATACATATATATAAGTGATCAAAGAAAAAGGGAATGCAACATAAAGGGTACGGGAGGCGGAAAAACTCGTAACATAATTTTCTCTTACATGGATTAATAGGGTATTTAAACTAGAAAGTTATAATCACTCATTTCCCATGTTTGAAAAATAATTATCCTAACATGAACAAGCAAATGAACTAGCTTAAATGAGATGCAATTCTAAATGACATGATTAGCACCTATAGCGGGTAGGGGATAATATAATAGGGAATATCATGCAAATAAGAAAAGATCCTAAAAATGAAAATATGCATGAAAATGTAGTGAATAGCATATAAAGATGAATCTAGCACAAGATGACCTAAAGGGTCTAGCGTTGGACTAGCTCATTTCTAAAAATCCTTACTAGCGTTGGACTAGCAAGTAAGCGAAGGGAGAAACCACAACTAGCGTTGGACTAGTGTAGTGACGTCATGCATTAACAATTCATAGTGAAACAAATAAAACATAAATTAAAACAAATAAACACATAAGAGCACGTAGCACATAACACGTAAACATAATATCTAGATGCCAAAATCCTAAGAAAAGCGGATAAAACACATAACACATAAACCACATAAACACGCAACCTATCTATTACATCGGGGAGCGCCTAACTACAATGTAGAAGGAAAAAATATAATAAAACAAATCTAATTATCCTATCTATTACATTTTTGAGGTATTTAAATGTCTCTTGAATCATTGTCAAAATTAACTAAAACATATATAAGAAAATTTGAATGAGTATTTAAATCAAATAAATAAAGCATATAAAAATATAAACACATAGGAGCACATAAGAGCGCGTAATTGACATTGAAATAATAAAAATAGGGGTATCTCCCGTTTAAAGTGGTGACTAAATGGAGTCAAACTGTCCTATTTATACTCACAATGAACAAAAGAATCATGGCACCAATTTAATTGAAAAAAACAATAATAATAAAAGTACTAAACTCACACTAATATGTCAAACATAAAGAAATTTAAAACATCTAAAAATTACAAATTGAATATGTTCAAAAGTAACATAATTAGTTATTGAAGAAAAGAAACAATCATAATAAAGAGAGCCAAAATTTGACAAGGATTGAATTGCAAAAATTGAAAACTTTTGGGGGACAAAAATTATATTTTTCAAAGTTCAGGGGTCAAAATTAAATGAAAGATAAAATTCAGGGACCAAAGTGCAATTAAATTAAGGACCGAGCTGAAAGGAATTTAAAATGTTCTGGGCCGCAATGAAAGTACTCCAAAAATCAGGGGCTAAAGTGCAAGTTCGTTTCTGATTTGGGCAAGAAAAGGGCATCGGGCCTCCCTTTTTATTTTACTTGGGCCGAACCTATCTAAACCCAACTGAAAGCCCAAGCCAAAACACACAGGCCAGCCCGTCTTTTATCACTCAAACCCAGCCAAAAACACATGGGCTCCAACCTCCTAGCCCAACCGAAACCCAAAAGAAACATAAACCAAAGACCAGCCCCAAAACCTAACAAAACTAGCTCTTGGCCCAACCGAAAACTAAACATTAGCCCAATCCCCCTTTTTTTTTTTCTTTCTTTTCTTTTCTTTCTTTTCTTTCTCTTTTCTTCCCCATACGTTTACTTTCCTTCTTCTTCGGCCAACCGAAGAAGCTTCAGCTGGCAGCCATGGTGGCCGCCGGTGGCGCCGCCGCCACCGGACCGCCACCGCCGGCGACCTTTCCGGTGATCAAAATTTCTCAAAATACACCTCCCCACTCCATTTTTCGCGTAGGTTCCATTTTCGGAGTTAGTTTTTACAAAAAGAAGAAAGAAAAGTGACCAAATGGCCAAAAAACAGCTGCATTTTTATTATTTTTAGACCTTTAAACCTTCACCAAAAAATTCATAAAAACATATTACAATACTCCTTATAATCTTTACATTACAAATATAATCTTAGCTAGCAAGAAAACAACAACAAAAGACTACATTAAGACAAAACAGTTTCTAAAATTCATTTTTTTTTGTTTTGGCATTTCATCAAATATTTAGCATGCATGCATGAGAAACATTTCCTTTTCCTTCATCTGGTTCATGCCATTTCCCAAATTTTGGCAATGCAACAACAACAATAAAAACCAGCAAACAAGAGAAATTAATATACAACCACAACAATAATAAAAAAAAGCAAAAACAAGAGAAATTAGACATTGAAACATGGATTGTAATATGGTAGAAAGAAAACTAGAAAATACCTCAGTGTAAGTGGTAGTTCCTTAACCAAAGGGTTTAATACAATTTCCACACCTTGAGCGTATCTCCCTGGCTCCCAAAGTTTCCTTCGTCTATCCTTTTCTGTCCGTGGAGAGCTTAAGGAAGGCCAAAATGGGGAGCTTTGCTCTTGTGTGTTTTCTGGTGAGAGTCAAAGAAAGGGCCGAGGGATGTATATTGAGAGGGAGAAAGAGTCGAGTGTTTTTTTTTTTGTCTGCCAGCCGAGAGAAACCATATTGGGAGAGAAAAAGAGGAGCTTGTGTGTGTATTTGGTCCAAATGATTATTTTTTACCAGATGACAAGAAAGTTGAGTGTAGGAATGGGTTAAGTGTTTTTTGGTAGGAAAAATGATGAAAATGTGTAAGTTTTGTAATAATTTGATTTTGATTTGATTTGATTTTTGATTTTTTTTTGTTTTTTTTAACTTTTCCTTTTTTCT